CCCGAATGGTCTCTAAGGGAAGAAGCGTAGTTTGGGAGTGTTTGGCTCTTCTAGGAGCAAAAGAATTGGTTATTGGTGGTGCCTGGTGGGAGCCTTTAAGGTTTGAAGTACGTAGTAAAGTGATTTCGCCTTAAGCGCCCCACCTCTTTGCTTTTAACAAGACAGCAAATTTCTAAACAAGTACTTGTGCAGAAGGCTTTAGATAACCTGAAATGCATTTATGAAAGGTTAGAAACAGTTTCTGTTGCCTGTCGGTAGTTGCTTTTTCTGAAAACGTCAGAAATACAGAAATTTGCCACATCGAAGAATTTTTGTTTATCCCCTTAATTTGCAGACGAAGGGAACGTCATCATTTGGAAAGCGTCGCAATAAGACGCACACGTTGTGCCGCCGCTGTGGCTCTAAGGCCTACCATCTTCAGAAGTCTACCTGTGGCAAATGTGGCTACCCTGCCAAGCGCAAGAGAAAGTGTAAGTTGAAAGCTTCTCCTGCACACTATTTGTTCTTGGAATAAGTCGTGATATTAAGAACAATTGTCGTGAATCTAAGTGAAGCATGAGTTGTCTTCATTTGGTACCTAATAAAACTTGTGCATCAGTATGCAGTTGAAAAAAGCACTTTTAAGTATTTTGATGTTCGAAGCATACAAGGTGTGAGAAAGCCACCAGGAATCTTACCTGCGTTTATGTTTTAGATAACTGGAGTGCCAAGGCAAAAAGACGAAATACCACTGGTACTGGTCGGATGAGACACCTAAAAATTGTATACCGCAGATTCAGGTACAGTTTTAATGTTTCAATCATAATTGACTTTGGGTGAGAACACTCATATTTACTTCTGTAAAATGAGTATTACCCTGGTAATGAGTGGGGATGAGTGTTGGAAGGTAACACTCTTAGAGTCAACAGTAGTTCTGTCAAATGTTTAGAGCATTTGAGCTAGACTCCCAAAAATGTGATGTTGATTAGTAGTAACTGTACATCTCACTTTTCTTCATACCATTCATTCATTTTTTTCATACAGATGAGGTCTGGGTCAAGGGTTATTTGGTTTAATTTTGCTTTCCTGTAAAATGTGGATAAAATCCTCATAAGTTGGTTTAGGGATTTTGTAGCATAATTTATACAATGGATTTGAAATGCGTAAAAGGTGCCATGCTTGGTATTGCATTATTGCAGAAGGAAAAAGTACCCAGAAATGTGGGCTCCTTTGCACTTGATAAAGTGACTATCTGTGTCACCCAAGATTTGCTGAGAACTTGTATTAAAATTTGAGACAGTCTGCCTAGGGTTTAACCTATCTGTCACAGTTAAGCTTGAAAGTGATGCAGTCTTCACTTTAAAGGCTATGCACCTTCCATTATGTTATATTTCAGTGATTCTCATCCTTCCCACTCTAATTTTAAGGGGGACAGGGCAGTTTGTAGCTTTGTAAACACTTTTTGGTGTGTTTTGTTCATACACTGAAGTAGTGACCTTTTTACTTAAAGCAGTTCAATAGTGAGGATTTGATGGAACTCTGGTGGCCTAGTGCCTAAGGCATTTGACTGCTAACCAGGAGGCTGGTGGTTCAGACCCACCAGCCACTCCTCAGAGGGAAGATTGGGCAATCTGCTTCTGTAGTGGTACCGCCCTGGAAACCCAGAGGGGTGGCTATGAGTTGGATCCCACCCCATGACAGTGAGTTTGTTTTTTTTTTTTTTTTACTTTGCTTGTGCCTCCATTCATTTGTAAAAGCAAGATAACGGTAGTTACGAATATTAAGTTAGTTAAAATATAAAGCTCTTTATAAGCTGCATATTAAATGTCTGCCATTGTGTATGTGTGTTGTTACTTTGGTTAAGGGAAAAATAAGGATTTCTCTCTAATGGCATTGTTGTTATGTGCCGCTGAGTCGGCCCCGACTCACAGCGACCCCTCCTTGGGTTTCCGAGGCAGTATCACTATGGAAGTAGATGGCCCCATCTTCCTTCCGAGGAGTGGCTGGTGGGTTTGAACCACCAGCCTTCTGGTTAGCAGTCAAATGCCTTAGGCACTACGCTACCAGAGCTCCCTAATGGCATGTTGTTGTTGCTGTTATGTGCCATTGAGTCAGCCCTGACTCATAGCGACCCCTCCTTGGGTTTCCGAGGCAGTATCACTACGGAAGTAGGATTGCCCAACCTTCCTTCTGACCCTAATGGCATAGGAAGGCTTTTTCTCAGATAACCTTGGTTCTCTTGGCAAGCAGTGGCAGTACTGACCCAGTGATCCGTACAACCAAATAAGCTATTGAGCTTTTATTGCAGTTATAGTTAATTATATCCCTGAAGTGGGTGTCGTTGCGTAGAAGGAAATAAATAAAGCTTATCAGTGATGTTGTAAAAATAAATGTCTGAACATATGAATACAATATTGATTTCAGCATTTAACTGAGATAAGCTTATTAAATTTTGTTCAATGACAAAGTAAAATGGCTGCATTAACTTTGCTCAAGTAACTTCTTGTTTTTTTTAACATGGTGCAGGCATGGATTCCGTGAAGGAACAACACCTAAACCCAAGAGGGCGGCTGTTGCAGCATCCAGTTCATCTTAAGGATTTCAACATTTAGTTGTGCAATAAATGTTCTGGTATTAAAAAATATATTTGTTTTAAGGTATTTTTAATCAATTAAGTGATGGTATCAGGGAATTACCATTGGTGTGGTGAGTGCGGCAATTTAAATTTACGTGAATTGGGTTATGACAATACTTAAGGGAAGATTTCTTTCAGGAAAACACAGGAAGAGGTAAGGGTAGGAGTTGAATGAAACTGATCAGTTTTGGATTACCCAGTAAAAGCAAGGTGAGCATGGGCTGTCTGTACTTGCTTAAAAATCTGGAGTAAGCAATTTCAAGTTTCCTTTACCACATCTTAAGATTCTGCTGATAAATAATATGTAGCATTTGCTCTCCCAACCCCATAGCATCTTCCTACAGAATCAAAGCCTTTTCAAATGTACAATCCCTAACAGGGATGGAGTACCCAGTAAGCAAGGTAAGCATGAGTTTATGTCCATAGTGAACTGTTCACACACATTTTTCAGCACATTAAAGATGTGAAACATACCTGAAATTGTTTGCTACGGATTTGAGAGAAAGCGCAAATAAGCTCGTGCTTGCTTTATCTGGTGCTCCATCCCTGGAATTAATTCATCCTAGTATCTATAATGATACGTAGGTGCAGGGCTGATGTAGGAAGGCTGTTTGGTGGAATTATTTTCTTAAAACTCTTGGTTGGGTGATTGTGTTTTATGAAATAAGATATTGTGAGCAAAGTGCTATTAAATTTTCTATCATCCCTTCCCCAGTACTGGTGATTTATTGCCTATTGTTTGTTTTTTTTTTTTTTTTTTTTTTGACGTAAAGCAAGACCAACTTGGTTGGACTACTGAGTAAAGCGAGGACAAGGAAGATGAAAAAGAATACATGTTGAAACCTAAAAAATGGGTTGCCATCTAGTTAGTTAATTTTAACTTGGGGAACACAGTGTAGGGCAAAGTAGAACTGTCCCATTTGGTTTCCAAGGCTGTAAATCTCCAAGGAAGTAGGCTACTAACAGTTCTCCTGTGGTGTGGCTGGTGGGTTCTAACTGCTTACCTTTCAGTTAGCAGCCTACTGCTTAAATAATGCACCACCAGGGATGTTGAAGCAGTCCCCCCCCAAAATAAAAATTAAACCATCTAATTTTTCATTGCGTTTAGGATAACATCTAACATACTTAATCTGAATTTTCATGACCTCCCCTCTTGCCAGTGTTTCTTTACTGTGGCCTAGAATGCTTTCCTAAAATAATAGTAGCCTGCCCTCATCCTGCTTCCGCCCCCCGCCCCCTGCGCCCAGTCTCCTAATCCATCCTTCATGTCTCAGCTTTTGTTTCTTTACCTTATATCTTACTTTTGTAGAGTACCCTCTACAAAACTTTGTAAGTCTGTTCTGGGCTTTTTGGAATTTATAGTTAAGGGAGTGGGTTATAAAGCTCAGTTGCCTGGGTACAAATTCCACTTGGCATTTTTTGCTGTGGTTTTCCTAACTTTTGTCTGTTCATCTGTAATTGGAGAGCTAGGAACTGGCCCATGGGCTTGTGAAAGCTGAGGAAAGACTAGGTAGATAAATGAAAGTGCTTTTACAGTGGGTACTCCTGAAGTAAGTAATGTTAAAGGTTCAAATTTATGAAATTGTTAGTTTCTGACCTGCAGAAACGGCAACAATGTATTTTGGCCTAATGAAATTGAACATCTGACTTGGTAAATTTTTGTAGCTTAATCTTCCAGTGTTACTAGTGGTTCATATTTGAATGAGGGGCCCAGTATGATAGGTAACACTCAATGTTAGATATTGAAGCAAGTGAACACTGATCTGAGGACCTCTGGACAACATGCTAAATCTTGTCAAAAGACATCAGTTAGCATGAGAGGGTGAGATGATATGATGAGCATTTTAAGACCAAGCTAATGGAGAGTTAATGCTTGGTAAAGTGGAGGGTCACCAAAAAAGGGGAAGGTCCTCAACTTGGAGAAGGATTGACTCAGTGGCTGCAATGATGTGCTCGGGTACAGCAAGGATTGTGAGGCTAGCACAGGACTGAGCAGTTTTATTCTGTTGTACATAGGTCACTATGAGGCAGAGCCCACTTGAAGGCACCTGACAACAACAGTGGAGAGTTAAAATCAGTAGCTTTGAAGAAGGGGGTCTCTTCTCTATTGCAGGGTAGCCATCAGGAGAAATCAAGAAGGGCTTGTGAGGGTTTGGAGTCCCTAGGTGGTGGCTAATGGTGAAGGCTGTTGGCTGCTGACCAGAAGGTTGGCAGTTAGAGGCCACCCAGAGGGGTCTGGGAAGAAATGGCTATCCACTTAAAGATTAGCCATTGCAAACTTTATGGAGCATGGTTCTACTCTGACTTGTGTGTGTGTTGTCTTAACATTTAGAATGGTAGCAAGTGGAAGGATTGCACGAGTCATTATGGCCTAGACCAATAAGGTGGTAGCAGTGGTGCTATAAGGAGGGAAGTCTACAGGGAACATCTAAAAAATAGTTTGCAAGACCCTATTAACTTCTCTAGGTGGTTATGAGAGTGTTAGATTCATGGCATCCCCATGAACAACAACAAATGTTACCCAGTCTCATTTCCTTAGGTCCTGTGTTAACAGCACCGTATTTTGAGTGCCTTCCAACTTCACTATAAATGTACAGGTGAGCTGTGGCTCACATTCCAGTACTATATTGGACAATATGTGGTCTATACGTTTTTCATTGGCTAATATTCAGAAATAGGTCTCCCAAGCCTGCTTTCTTAGCCTCAGTCTGGAAGCTCTGTTGAAAGCTTTTCACCATGGGTAACTCGGGGGTTATTTGAAATAGCAGTGGTGTAGTTTCCAGCATCATAGCAAATAAGCCACCACAGTAGGACAAATGATAAGAGCTGGGTGGTGGTGTGAACATTATGTCAGGTCACATATGTAAACATTTAGCTTTATGTTTAAGAGCAAGTATGAAAAAAATTGTCATATCAGGAAGACAGGAGTGTTGGATGATTGGTTTCTGGATACTTAAGAAAAACACTGCCATTGAGTTGATTCCATCTCATAGTGACCTCCATTGAGTTTCCAAGGCTGTAAATCTTTATGGAAATAGATTGCCTCATCTTCTGCAGAGAAGCTGGTGTGTTATGAACTGCTGACCTTACGGTTTGCACCCAAAATGACTTATCCACTACGCCACCAATGCTCCTGCTAACATGCAGAATGGAGGCAATGTGGGACTTTCTTGAGATGCATATGGGCCATTAGGAGGAAGTGTTCAGGAAGCACTTGAGAAAACCTGGTAGCCATTCAGGTAGAAGGTTGGGGCTGGAAATGTGTATTTGGGAGAAATGGTTAAGAAAGGGAACTGATCTTAATTTAAACATGGCACTAAGAGGTGGTCATGAGATCTGGTAGGCATTGAGGTGACCATAAGAGAAAAGGATTGAGTTATTGACTGGAGTTCTCGATTCATGAGTGGTTGAAACCACTTGAGAGTATACAAAACTATAAAGACAATTCATAGAGGCTCTGTCTTAGTTGTCTATTGCCGCTATAAGGGAAATACCACGAGTAGATGGCTTTAACAAATTTATTTTCACACAGTTCAGGAGACCAGAAGTGTGAATCCAGAGTACCAGCTTTAGTGGAAGGCCTTCTTTCTCTCTGTCAGCTATGGAGGAAGGTCCTTGTCCCCTTTCAACATCTGGGCACAGTGTTCCTTGATTGCAGTCTTCCTCTGGGTCTAGGCGGTTTTTCAGTGTAAGAACCCAGACACAAATTACTCATTTCCTGGCTTTTCTTTCTTAGTGGTAATCAGGTCCTGTCTCTGCTCAGTTTAATCTCATATCTCTATACAGAGATTGATTCAAGAAACAACCTAATCCTGCAGATTTTACCCTGTCTGGTTAACATAACTGCCTCCAATCCTGCCTCATGAACATGTGTCATAGTGACCCTGTGTACAACAGAACAAAACTGCCCAGTCCTGTGTCATCCTCAGAATTGTTGCTGACTTTAGCCCATTGTTGCAGCCTCTCAACTTGGCTGGACTTTGATTCTTGGTGATACAACAGTCATGATGTAATCATCCCCATGATGAGTCTGATGTGATGTAATTACTTCTGTGATGAGATAAGCTACGAGCAGCCAGTCAGTTGTGAGGGAATTTCCTTAGGGGTGTGGCGTGCTTCCTGTGTGTGTGTGTGT